GCACTCTCGACACCCGCACCAACGTGCGCGAATCGTTCGCGAAGGGCCGCGCGCAGACTTTCGAGTCGCGAGATTCGAGCGACGTGCCAATTTATCACACCTGTGGACGGTCGCGGGCGTTTTCTTTGGCACTTTTCTCTCAGCGTCTCTAGACGTTCATCGCAACGTTCCTCCCACGAGATGTAACCATCCAACGTGTCGAAGAGCGCGGCCTCTTCTTCGAGCGGTTCGCGATCGTTTATGTATGCTATCGCTTATATACTTGTTATATTTTTAAAATATTAAAAATATTAGAAAGGTAGAGCCGTACATCAAACCAGATTTCACGTATTGCGTCCTCGCACACTTTAGGAATTTCAAGATTGTGAGTATTTCTATAGAGCTTGCGATCTCGATTGCTCGCGATCAAAACGACTTGTGATTCGCTCCCGAACTCGACACGCTTTTTTATTTCGCTCCTTATCTTGTCCGCGATCTTTCGATTTGAAATTTCAAATTTTAAAAAACCGTTTAAAAAAAACCACATCCGGTACGTAACGGTTTTTTTACGCAGTTGGTATCGCAGGAAATGATTCATCAAACTGGAATTGCCTGATCGCTTCGGGCGATAAGAAAAGACGCACTTCTGGGAAATTTGCGGTTTTTCTCGGAATTATTATTATTTTACTACGCAGTTACGTGCACCGCTTCCAGGAAATTTGCGGTTTTTCTCGGAATTATTTATTTTACTGCGCAATTAAAAATCCTAATTATTATTTTAGCGATGACGTCATCATCCGAATTACCTTGAACACGCACGGACCTGTTCGAGTTCTATTTTTAGCAATGACGTCATCATCCTTGCGGTTTTTCCCGGAATTATTTTACTGCGCAATTAAAAATCTTAATTATTATTTTAGCGATGACGTCATCATTCAAATGACCTTGAACACGCACGGATCTGTTCGAGTTCTATTTTTAGCGATGACGTCATCATCTTTGCGGTTTTTTGCAGGAATTATTTATTTTACTGCGCAGTTGCGGTTTTTGAACATGTCCGTACGGTGATAGAGTAGGGGGAAATTTCTTCATTTATCCTTGGGATATATAAGGCGCTGCATGGTAACCAAAAACAGTTAGTCTCGCTGCGATCGTTCTGCGTGCTACGAGTTGTCGCTCTTTCTCCTACTCCTCTTTGCAACGAACAGCTCGACGATGTTTCGCTCGATGGTTCCGATGAAGCAACGACAACCTTCCATAGATCTTCAGCACGAGCCCCAACGCAACGGCGCGAAGAGAAAGAAGTTCAATCAAGGGTAAGTATTTTTGTTTTGCTTTCTTTTTTGTTGCTTCTATTTTAATATTTTTTATTCACAATAAAATCATGTTTTTTAGTTTTTTTATTCACAGACAATGCAATGGTGTTCAGTCAACATCGATTACACCCAACGTACCGCCACAGCGTACGCGGATACTGAGTCGCAAATACATCTTAACCAAAACGGGGTATAAGTATTTCGAACTCGGCATTGGTATTTCATTGATGGATGCAACACCAACCGTTGACATAGCTCTAGGCGACAACAATGGGAACGAGGTGCTTCTGTCGTCAGAAATGTGGAAGATGTTGTTGGACAACGAACGAATAATTATGTCCTATTTGTCGGAGCAGAGCGACGCGCAGCCGCCTATTCTTGTAGACGATCTGGTTGTATTGTTCAGCTTGATAAACAACGCAAAGATCATGCGTCTGACTACAAAGAATAGTCGCATAATATTGTCCCACCAATCAATGTGCAACTTGTTCAACTTGAAACATTGTGTTGCGTGCATCATCGCCTACTTGAACGACGCCGTTATTCGCGTGCGAAACAGATTGTCGCAGTATTTCGCGATCCAGTCTGAATTATCCGATTCCGCTAGCTTCGCAAATGCTGTCGCACAGAGCGGTGACTTCGATGTCAACGATATTGTCGATTGCAAACTGTTAGCTGTATGTTACGGCGTTGCGCCTTAATAAATATTATTTATTGTTTTGTTTTCACTTTCATTTATGTAACTTTATTTTTACAGAACACAATAAAAAATTGCTCTGTTCTTCAATAACACAGTGTTTTCTATTTCACATTTCCTAACCACATATGCGTTCCCATTAGAACATTGTTTTTAATTGTAAACACTTTTTTAACCAATAGTCCTCAAGAAATAAACACACACACACATCCAGGACGTAACGGTTTTTTAATTGCACGCGTTTTTAATATAGTACACACGCACCGAAAGTGTGTAAAAAAAACCACATCCGGTACGTAACGTAATTTGTGGTTTTTCTCGGTATTATTATTATTATTATTATTTTACTGCGCAATTAAAAATCCTAATTATTATTTTAGCGATGATGTCATCACCATCCAAACGACTTTGAACACGTTCGAACATGTTACGATCGTTGACGCCATCACTAATGCTTACTTATGTGAAATAAATACAACACGTCGAATTATGCATGCTCCATTTTTACGGCTCGTCGCTAATTGGCTAGTTCCGGTAGAGCCGATAACAACGCTCCGCCGACACCACCCACACTCCTACGTCATTTCATTCGCAATCGACACATATGTATAATACTTCTATATTGCTAGTACGGTGCCGACCTAATGTCCAAATGTTACGGNGCAGACAATATAGTAGCCTCTCTCTCCATCTGCTTTGTGCGCATGCGGTGAACATTTAAGCACGTTTGGGCATTTCTCTTTCTCGCGTTCTTTAATCGCGACTATCTATGTTCATATTTGGACTTCGTGCGTCTCCTTTTCTCGGGCCTCGTGCCTCTCATATCGAAGATACGCGACTAGCCACTGNTGAATCGACAACGCTTCGCTGACGCCACCCACACTATCACGTTACCTCATCCGCAACGCTCAACTGTTCTCACTATTATGAATATATATGCTTTAGTATTTTACTGTAAAATTTAAATATGTAATTGAGAGTTAATATTATTCTAGCGACGACGCCATCAAACGACCTTGAACATGTCCGTACGACCTTGAACACGTTTCGAACAGGTCCGTACGCCCTCCTTTTCGCGCGGGTAATAAATTGAATCACTAATCGATCTTGCCTCGTGGGTAAGAATGATAATTACTAATTTCTTTTGATCAATAATAAATTGATAATCAATCAATAATAATCGATCAATAATAATCGATAATCGATCCAATAATTATCGATACTCGATCCAATAAGAATCGATAATCGAATCATTAATAATCAATAATCGATAATCGATAAGTTGAACACGTTTCGAACAGGTCCGTACGCCTTCCCCCTCTCACGCTTTTAATAAATTAAATCAATAATCGATCTTGCCTCGTGGGTAAGAACGATTAATACTAATTTCTTTCGATCGATAATAAATCGATAATCGATCAATAATAATCGATAATCGAATCATTAATAATCGATAATCGATAATCGATAATCGATCATCAATCATTAACCCCCTTCCCCCGCCTTCCCCCTTCCTACGCCTTTTCCCTCTCCACGCTTTCTCCCTTTTCAAGGTCAGGACATGACTGACCTAGTGGAAAATATTGAGTCAGAATCGGCCTTGTATAACTGCTACTGATGTCAGTGATGATGAGGAGAGGTTTTTTATTATACCGTTTGTTTTCGAGTTAACTGATCATTTGACCACTCAAGAGAAAGAATTTCAAGTGCTCGTTCAGATCCTTAAACACTTTAAAAACGTTCATTAAATCGCGCAAATATAAAGTAGAACATTACTCAAACAACAACATTGTTTACAGGATCAATTGTGCTTCCTGTGACGCCTCTTATGTAGGCCAAACTGGAAGACAATTACGCACAAGATTGACAGAACACCAGCGTAATTTTTATCAAAATTATGAAAGGCAGTCTGTTGTTAATCGACACCGTAGTGATCTTGGTCATGATTTTCAGTGGGATAGAGTAGACATCTTAGATAAAGAACGATTTTACCACAATAGGCTTGTCGCGGAAATGTTACATATAAAAACACAGAAGGCGAGGATCAATTTAATGAAGAACATTGAGTTACTAGATTCTATCTACACTTTCGTTCTAAAGAAGCTTCGCTAGTCACGTGTTCTTTGTCACGTTCTGTTTTCTTCTTCTCTTCCTCTTGATTTCATGAGTTTGAGGAATTTGTGTTATTTCCTGAACTCTCGTACGTTTAGCAGTTGTTTCGTGGGACAGTCATGCTTGGTCTGTTTCTGTTGTCGCCGGGAAGTTTTGTGACATCCCAACATGGTTTTTAATTTACTAATTAAAAAGTAAGTTTTGAAAAAAGAATTTTAATCAGTGAGTAAATTCAATCGTATAATTATTCAAATTTTAACTTTAATTAACAGAACGTGATTTACAATGTGACAATTAATTGACTATGACCTTCTGAATTTTTCGACTTATTCATTGACAATACATATTTTTTTGGTTTTCATTTTAGTTTATGGTTCGATACAACATTAATTTAATTTTCTATATAGACACTGATACATGGACATCACACTGTTGGTAGCATGTCTATGTCATCTACCGTTTGGTTGTTGTTGCTTGCCTGTTTGTGCTTGGGAGCAGCCTTTGTATTGACTGTCTCAACTAGGTGCGTGCATACTTTTTCAAAATATTTATATAGGCTTGTCCTTCCTTCTAGCGAATTTGTCATTACTGTATTTAATTAGATTTATTTTATTTTTATTTTATTTATTGTATAATTTTGTATTATGTAACAGTGCTGAAGATGATCAACATTAAAATGATCGAAACGTTCACCTAAAACACTGCTTGTTAATTGACATTCAACTTCCACCTTCAACCAAGATTATAGGCTCTTTAATTTCACGTTTAATTTTAGTTAATACAAATAATATTAATAAAAAAAAAACAAAACAAAAAGAGAAAATATATAAGAAGTGAGTAATAAAATAAAAATAAAAATAAAATAATTATGAAAAAAAAACAAACAAACAACAACAAAAAACAAAGCTAGTTTTAAACATTAATAGCCAACAGATATTCAAAAAATTTTCTTTTAAAAATATAGAGGCGTTCGTTGCGTATGTCTACTAGAATATCATTCCACGTATCAACGGAGATACAGATAAATGATTGCCTGAAGAATTCAGTACGACATAACGGCAAGATAAAAGTGCCACTAACAGCTCTAGTGCCATAATTTAATTGTGAATCTTTGAGAGAGTACCTTTCATATAAGATCCGAAGTCTTTCAGTTTCCAATATTTTACAAAGTAGATTGCCTATGAAATTCTTTCTTCTTGACTTTAACTTGAGCCATTGTAATTTCTGATAATAAGGCGTGATATGCTCGAACCATTTGATGTCAAAAATGAATCTCACGCAATTGTTAAAGACTCTTTGTCGCAGATTGTCAGCTTCCGTTAAATCTGTTAGTAGAACACAGCAGTAATCAAAAATAGGAAGTATCAAAGCAGACACCAATCTGATCCGTACACAAGGCAAAAAAAAGTTTTTGAATGTCTTCAACCGATAAAGTGCTGCATTAGCACGCGAGATTATGCCGGTAATACGAGCATCCCAGGACAGTGTATTTGTTAGTGACACCGTGATACTTTGCAGTTTTACTCCAGGGAATTTTAGCCCCATCTACCATGATGTTCGATATGAAGTGTAAATCAATATTATGAACAAATCTTATTGTGCCAAAGATGATAGCAGAAGTTTTTCCGGCATTTAAACTTAGTTCGTTTTTTGAGGTCCAATCCACTACTCTTTTCATGTCCATATTGATCTTTTCCAACGCCTCATTGAGCAAGGACGGCGCAGTATGTAAATAGATGGGCAAGTCATCAGCATAATAATTGTAATTGCAATGTTTTAAGATCTTGCCAAAATCCGACACGTATAGTGTAAAAAGAAGAGGTCCGAGAACAGACCTCTGCGGCACGCCTTTGATTATAGGTAGTTTTCCAGACAACACATTGTTATATGAGTATCGAACAGCCTGTGTTCTACCAATAAGGTAGGAACACATCCATCTAAGCACAGAGTTTGAAAAAATTCATCTTAATTAATTTATCACTTAACAGGTGATGATTAGCATTGTCGAATGCTTTGGAAAAGTCGAAGAATACCGAGATGGTGACTTTACTTTGGTCAGCAGCCTCTCTCACATCATCGAGAACTCGAATAAGTGCAGTCTCAGTAGAGTATCCATATCTATAGGCATTCTGAAAAGGATCTAGTAAGTTTCTTGCCTCGAGATAGTCAAGCATCTGACGTGTAGCAATACGTTCAAGAGCTTTTGAGAGCATGCAAAGCAGCGAAATTGGTCTGAAATGTTGTAATTCAGTAGGAGCTCTTATTTTGGGTATTGGATTAACTATGGTAGATTTCCAGACAGTAGGAAAGACTCTATTGTTAAAACTATAGTTAAAACTATGTGACAGAATAGGCAGAATGCAAGGTATGGCTGTCACAATGAGTTTACGTGATATTCCATCATCACTACCAAAATCTGAGCCAATAGTTGATATTGCACTTCTTACTTTGGCATCCACTATATTCGATCAGTAGAACTTCGATTCATCATATATAGGTTCTCCAATAAATACATTGATCCCAGCAAACACAGAATATAACTGCTATATAACATAGAAGTAACAGCGTAATATACGTAATATAACAGCTGTTATACTTTATTAACATCAATGTTATATAACTTTGTTTTATAATTGTAATATAATTATGTTATGTATCTGTTATATTGCTTTGTTATTAGGTGCGCAACTAAGTTCTCGCTGTTTTTTTTTGAAAATGCAACTTTATTGTGAAAAAATGGTTACAAATGAATCATTCAAAGTATTGCCTATCGGTAGCTACAACTTTTTCCCATTTTCCTGGCAAAGCTCGAATACCGTTACGGTAAAAGTGTTCGTTTTTTGAGGCTATCCACGAATCAAGCCATTTTTTGATGTCTTCATATGAGCGGAA